TGTCAGATCATAAAATCAGTTTAAAAACAAGCATGTATAAATAATGAAGGGTGGAGGAAACAAATAGAAAACAGCAAAATATCTCACTTCCTATTGGCATCAGCTCTTGGACAAAAGGAAGCATCCACATTAGCTGCTGCTGCTCTGCTAAGTGTGTGTGTGTGTGTGTGTGTGTGCGCGTGCGCGTGTCAGTCAGAGAGAGAGAGAGAGGAGGCGGCAACTCGAGAAAATGACTGTGCACTGTTAAGAGGAGGGGCAACAACGCTGGAAAAGAGCAGAGCAGAGCAGAGATGCACAGGCTCAGATGCAGAAAAACCACCTACTACTGAAAGGGGCTCCTGGTCTACTGCAGTCCACAGCCGGGCTCCCCAGGTGTGACTGCTGCCGGGAGTACAACAGAAGCTCTGTCCCCAGTCACCAGTGTAGAAGCATGTCCAAGCCGTGTGGGGCAGTGGTGGTGGTTCCCCGACCATGGGACAAGTCTGCAAAGTGCCCCCTCACCGGGAGGGGAAAACTCCACCCCCACAGTTTGATTCCTGTGGGCTCCACGGGCTAATCCTGAGCTCCCAAAGCTTATCTGCGGCGGCGGCGGCTGAATAAGGCTTTTATTTATGAGGGTGCAGTAGGCCCCGTCCAAAGAGGAAGAGAAACACGAGGAAGAACCCGCTCAGAACACAGAGCCACCTCTCGGGCCACACTGCAGACATTTGTCCCTGCTTCTGAAGGGCAGTCCTCAGGTGTCCCGATGGCGGAGATGCACTGTGGCAAGCTGAAAGGCACATTCTGAAAGACAGAGGCTTAGAAAATATTTACAAAGCTGTCCACCGGCGTCCGTCCACTGTGCCTTCCAATGCTTGGCAGGACCGGGGACCCATGTTATGCAAGACACGCAGCAAAACACTTCTTCACCGCGTCCCTGGAAAGACAAGCATCAAGGTGAAGGAGAGGTTACAGCCCAGGGGTTCCCAAACTTATTCGGCCTATCACCCCCTTTTCAGAAAAAAAAAAAATGACCC